AGTACACCGAAACACAGTGTGCCGGGTTATGGCAGGCACTTTGTGTATGACCATAGCGCTGACAGTTGAAGCACTGTGTAGGCCGTGGTTTCGATTTGTAGGGTACAAGCCTGAAACGCATGTCCATAATTGTGCGTAGTTGGTATATCTTTTTTCCTTCCGGTGTTTTAGGTACTTCAATATAATATACAGGTACTGTTTGGATAGCTCCATCGCGGATGCGTTGAAGTTGTCTGCATTTTTTTATTGGAACTTGCTGGGCTACAATTTCTTCTTTAACCTCATCAGCGCTAAGCTCTGTGGTTAGTCCTTTGATAATAAGACGAATACTTTTGTCGGAGTTAATTACGAAAGTATGGAAAGGAATTTCCACGTTTTCAAGTTCGCTCTGAACCTTACGATAGTCGTCTGAAGTAAAGGTTTTTATTACAAGGTTTTCACCTTCCATTTTACCTTCAATTTTGTTGATTTTTAGATTTTCTTTTATGTCCTTATGCAGCTCTTTCCAGCTGATGTTTGGTTGAGGGATCACAAGTGGTGGGATCTTGTTTGCAGTGTTACTGGGCTTTGTGAATTGATTATACTCGTCAAGGAGGTTAGAATACATGGAAATGGCGTATCTGCTATTGCAGTATGAAGAAAGTGAAGCCAGGGGGAAGGAAATAAGCCATGCCACGTGAGGGGAAGAGAACAATTACCTTACTAACATGGACCTTATAAGAGATAGACCAACCCAGTGTGCGGGGTGCGCATCACCGACATGTCGGCAAGAAAGAGTAGGGACGATCTGGTTTGCTTTAACACTGAAACCTATGGCGTTTGTATTACATAACTGTGTTTAATTATTAAATCTGATACGTTGTATAGTGATGAGATTATGAAAGCCACAGTTTTTTCCAAATAAGATTTAATATATCTCATTAAAGCACTTTTTACTGCATTTCGTGCAAATTTTTCACGCGTAATTTGTGTATCTTTACTTTGGTAAAACGGTAAAAACACTAAGCACAAAATTTATTAACTTAATTTTGCGTAAAAATAAAGTAAAATTAAATAAGATTGATAGCATGTGATGCTTTGAAATAAATAAAGTAAAATTAAGCAAGATCTGATTTTTTTTTTTTTTTTTAAATTTAATGACCATTTTCTGGCAGTGATTTTCAAAACTATAATAATATTAAAAAAACAATCATTTATTTGATTATCTCATCATTAACTTATTAACATTAAAGTTGAATATTTATTTTTAGTAATTTATAAAATTCGGAGCATAAAATTTCTGAATGTAATGAAGGGGGGAAAAAAGATAAAATAAAATCCAGAAGCATTCAGATTTTATATTACACCCAAAAGGAACCTTTTTTTTTGCGTTTTGTGTGTTACCTATATTTACTTAATATTATGTTCGTCGCCCATAAACAACATACATTTGAAAACAGCATATCTTTAGAATTTCCGCACTGGAGATAAAACTGTTATTTTCCGTACAGTACTCTCTCTGAACTCGTTGAGTTTGTTAATCAAAAATTCGTTAAAGTTTTACAAAATATGAAATAGATTAAAACAAATTCGAAATTCGGCCGTCTGCCCATGTTCGGTTGGAGGATTACATTATTCAAAATTTGATCGCTCTAGATACCCTCGTTTTTGTCACAGTGCAAGAAACATACATGTATTCATGCAGATTCTACATTACTTAATTTCTTTAAATATAATACAGAGCAATAATATTTGGTAACAACAATTTGCAAGGAGACACAGACACTTATAGTAAAACAGCGCAAATGCCACTTCGAAATTAACAGCCTTTCTAGGCTACTGCCGCTTTGGGTTAATAAATTAAATTAACAGTAAATAAAAAAATCTCTTTCAGAACTAAAAATAAAAATTTAAAAAATAATCACTATAAAATACAAGCAAAATTAATTATTACGGTTAAATACAATTTTAATATTAGAATTAAATGTATTAAAATTAAGATGTCACACGTGCTTATCACTACGATGTATTATGAAATATAATTGAAATAAAATTCCTTCATAGAAATTGTGTTATAATACTCATAATTAATTTTTAAAAAAGCAGCAAAATTTAGAATTTTAAACAAAACTTTCAAAAATTCGTTTTTAAATATTTTAGTATATTTTACTTATTTACACCAATAAAAAGTATAAAAATTGCAAGAGAAAATTGCTTGTTTGAAATTTCCTATTAGTTCAGATTTAAAATATTATTTTCTAAAAGTAGTTACAAATTTCCTTACAGCACATACGAAAAGCTAAAAAAATATCCAGCCCTGATAGCATGCAATAGCTTCATAATTATTTGGAACATTAATAATGCTTGATAAATATGCTAAATTTTTAAAAATCAATCTCAATCTCAAAAATAAAAATATGGTAAAATTCTAATTTGTGAAATGAGGCGCTAGAACCAGCTTTTTCTTGACACGCTGCAATAGGCAACCACTGTTCAATTTCTGCAAGTCGTCCCTACTCCTCGGGATGTGATCAAGGTGACAGCCGGGAACGCTTCAGACAAAGGAGAAAACGCATTTGGTTTAGTCTATTTCTTATAAAGTCCATGTAATCAATACAATGACGTAACATCTAATAGCAACCACTAGAAATGATAATTAATGAAACAAGTGAAATATTAAAATGCAGGTTACTTTATCGGCCGGCCGATTATCCTACCGACTACTGTCTTAAAATGTAGCCCCTCTCGCCCCAAGAGCTAGAGAGAGGCTGAATGAGCCAGCGAACGCTCTACTTATTGTCACTCGATGGGGAAGTGTATGGGTAGAGTTACTCTTCTGTTAAGCTTAGGGTTGTAAAACATGAAATTAAATTTATTGTTGGCTAATGTAAGTACAACATTCGGATGACCTTTCACTGAATTTTTTTATTTTTTATTTTAGTGGTTTTCATATGAAATATATTAGAAGTTGAACAAAGTATTTTCCAGCAACTTATGGTTTGAAACCTCATTACAAAATTATACATTTCAGAACAATCAGAAAGAAGAATTATACTCAGTTTTTCCCGATATATGATTTACAACCCATCATTGAATTTCTGTTGCTTTTAATATTATTATCTTTTATTTAATTATTTTACTATTTGCATCTTAAGTGTAATTATATAAGGTAACATTGAGTATACAAACTCAATCAAAATCTGATTTTTGAAAATATTACCATAATTTATCAGGATACGCCTCCTGAACCATCCCACAGTGTCAGGTGTTACAAGTGCAACTGAAATTTTTCAGTTTATTTATCAGAAATGGAAATTTTACTTTACTGTGTATTTTTGACCAAACAAGAGTAATCTACAAGAGAGTCTCTACACTATCACGTGACGAAAAATGGCTATGTCTTTGTATTACCTATAATTGCTGTCTCATGAACTTTAACTAAATCGCATGACTACCCACCTCCTCGATTCACGCCTCCGGGCGGATACACATATATTTTAATTTTCTAAAATTTACTGCAATCGTCCCATGGCTACCAAAATAGTGACAAAAACTCTCTTTCTTGTTGAGACCAAATAACAAAGGCTAACAAACGACCTACAGTGGAATTTCTGAAAAGTAGATGTGTGCAAATGGTGTGCAGAGCTCTGAAGGCAGTGTCTGTTCCTATGTAGCCACAGGACACCACAAGCGAATCTGAAGGCACTCCTGGGCCCCTGTCCCGGTAAAAAGTAAGTAATAATAGCATTTGTTTGAAGTGATAGCAATGTAATAAAAAGTCCATAATTATGAATACTGCCATGAAAAAGAAATATTCAGTATGTTTCAATAGTAGGTGTCCATGGTGCATCTTATAAACGAAACATTGAGTTTCATTTATATGGAAATATGAAACAGACTTCAGAGATGGTGGTCGAAGCGCTGTAAATCTGCAGTCTCAAAATACTCAAAATAGACGGTGTTTAAAAATACCAGAATGTGAATCAATTAATCAATCAAAACAAATTATTGCTGAGTTGTTAATAAGCACATGACTTTAAAAAATTCTGAAGTGGAAACTGTGGTATTGAGGTGATGAAAAAAGCCCAAAGCATGGCAGGCGTAGAGGGAGGTGTCAGTCATGAGAAGTAGGCGTGTCTACCAACCAGAGCAAGAACGCAGAGTCCGGAGGGCGGTGCTATCCCCTGAAGCCCGAGCACACTAGAAATTAAACAAAGGATCAAGGAAGTGCAAGTTACGGAGTTCATAGGCAATTACGCCTTTACCTCCACATCTTCAAAGGAAATTAAATCATCAAAAAGAGGGGATTGTAAAATAGGGTAAAAATTTTGAAAAGCCGAATGACTTGGAATAAGTGCCTTCACACTGAGTCAAAAAAAGGCAAAAAACTCAGAAGGTCTTAATTTTGCGCCGAAAAAGAGCCAGAATAATTTAGATAGGGTCAGCCATAAAATTTAGACTAGAAAAATTAATTTGCGTTAATTTTGCGCGTTCTTTGGGGTGGGAGGGAAGGGGGGAACCTGTTTACAAGTCGAAAAAGTAGTTCTGCTAGTGATTAGCTGGGAGGGAGAAGTTTCATTTTTGACCGCTATTCAGTGCGGTATTTAAAGGCCTAAAATGACGCTGGTTAAACGCCTGAGAAAGTTCCCTTTTAAAGGAAGAAAGAAGCTTTAATTAAAAATCTTTTTCAGTTTAAGTCAATTGATAAGTTAAAATATTTTAAATCAGTCCTATTTGACTGTAATGTTTCTTCTTAAAGTAACTTTATAGGGTTAATGCTGTGTGCATTAAAGAACTTTAGAGGCGGGGGGGGTGTTAAGGAACGAGAGGTAGTTATTCACATGGCGCAGGGTAACTAGCCGTTATGGGACGAGTATCGGTAAAACCGCTCTGGGCTTTCCGGAAGAAGCAGGGAGAACCACATGGCGGGGAAGCCTGACGCACATTCGTCTCGATCACTCGCCCTCAACAAAATCAAGCCGTAGTGACCAAGAAGCTATAGTGAGAAGAAGTCAAGCTTCGACTGCACAGCAACGCCACGGAGAAAAACTGAGTCTAAAATGTGTCTTTTTTGACAACTTTACAGGCGTAAATTCAGGTTCTCTGAAATTCATTCACGCATGCGCGCTAGAGCCAGAGAGTTTGTCAACAACATCGTAGAAGTCGTCATAGCGCGCCATATTGAACGCTAAGCACGAGGATTTCAGCAATTTTGAACATTTGGAAATGGAAAAAAATAATGAATCACGCTCTAGTGATCCTGCGTGTGAAAGGTACGTAAAAATATTTAATTCTTATACCTTTTCATAGTAGAATTATTTTTTAATTACCAGAGTTATGTTCAAATCCATTCCATAACATGGGATGGTAATCAAATATCATGTAATGAACGATTATTAATTAAGTTGGCATTAAAAAAGTTAAAAGTTTCATTGGAACATTTTATTGAAAAATTATAATTCCTACTGTTAAAGAAATCAGAAGTATTTCGAAAAATCTCTATCAAAGCTTCTTACGCAAAATTAGTATATTTGTATATAATTGCGAGGATAAAATCAAGCAATCATGGATGATTTACTATGATTGCTAATGAAAATTATTTCAGTTCTTCATATCCGATCTTTCCTGCAGTTATATGTAATGTATATTGCAACTTCTTCTATTTTCGTTTAACCAGGTATCAATTTTTTAGTTCATGATATTTTCTAATTCTATACATTGAGCATTATTTATAATCAAAGAATCTTTATAATAAACTATTCACAGATATCATTTTTTTGCTACTAAGAACTGCAATATTATCCCAATTTTTAAATATTTTTTAATAATTTTTCCAGTTTTAAAAATAAAATTATTAAAGTAAATTAGCTGCATAATTCTGGTGTCATGATATTCATTGGCTCTTTTTTATTTTATTTCAACCTTGCAACTTAAATGTATTCTGTAAATTAATTATTAAATATCCATATTTTATTTTTATATTCAATTTTTATATATTCTGTACTGATGTGATTTAAATCTTTATAATAATAATTCATTTAGGTTAAATGATCCTTCACCAAAGGCTTATGTGCGTTGTGTGGTGTGTAATGCCAATTCTTGGTATTTTCCTGAAAGAAAATTCTTTCGGTTTCCTAAAAATCCAGAGAGGTAAAAATTTTATTTTTATTTTAAGTTATAAGTATTTAAAATGCATGAAAATAAGTACAGTATGACAGATGAAGAAATTTTTTTTAACTTTCTGTTATTTAAAAAAATTATTCCTTTTCAAATGAAAACGTTATATTCATTAACATACTTTGTGTGATATTCAATGTTGCCTTATCTGTTTAGCCTAATTATATATACAATAGTAATAAAATATTTATGTAAATATTACAAAATCGTAGAAGAGTAGAAGCATTAGTTGAATATATGCATCAGCTAAAATGAATTTTTTCATAAGCAGAATGCTTAAAAAAATTTAACATTAGTTTGAGTAAAATGCATAAATATTAATTTTTTTGTACATAAATTAGTACTTAAATGTTATCTACATGTCAAATTTCTGGAAAAACTAAAATATGTATTTGTTTTGCACAGTAATAAGTTACATTTTAAATGAATGCTTAAAACTAGTGTTCCCTGTGTAAAGTAGGTGTAAATTTCATGTTGTTTTAACTTTTATAGATCAGCACAATGGCTTGAAGCATGTAGAATTTACTTGATTGGACGTGACAAGGAAATATTAAAGAAGCCACCTTCTCTTTTATATCGAAGTCGTCTTTGTTCCGCACATTTTGAAGACAATGCATATTCCACAACTAAGAAGCATTTTTTGCATTCGAGTGCTAAACCAACAAAATTTGGTGAAACAGGTATGCATTAATTTCAAGTTTATATATTTCAAAAATTTTTAAAAATTTAACCTCTTATATATTGTACTGATCAACAACTTACTATGTTATCTTAGAAAGAGAGTAGTCTGCTGTCTTTAAAAAGAGTGATGATAAATCTTTTTCTGAAGGATAATTTAGTTTAATCTCCCACAGAAATTTCATTTGTTTACATAAATAATATAACTTATTTATTATGAAAGGACTCTTCTGCTGTTTCTTACATAGTCAATTTTGGTATGAGAGAATGTAAAGTAACCCTTTTTTAAAATCCATTAAATTTTCCTTAGTAAATCCTTTATGGATATAGCAGAATGTTCTTAGAATATGATGTAGCAGAATATATTTACGCAAAGTATAATTTTAGGCTTTGAATCAGATTTACAAACTCAGGATAAATGAAATTAACGATAATTAAAAATAAAATTAAAACTTCGGCTAATCTTTGGAATATGCTAACTGGTAGTTTGGCGACATTTTGGTAAGGCGATAAAGTTTACTAGCTAGGACTTTAGCAGTGTAAATGGATAAAGTCAAGAGTGTACGCAATGCCATTTTTGTGCAATTCTGAGATTTTTTTTAAGTCAAAATAGATCGACGTATACATGGATGATACCGTGTATGTGCAATTCTTAACGCTGCAAGCAGTGGGCGATTCTGCACTTTCTCCCAATTTCGCACCTAATCTTCGTGATGATTAAGCACTTTTGTTCCATAAAAGTTCTAGCATAAGCGTAATTCGGCTAGCAAATTGTTGGAAAAAAAATGTTGAGTAGTAAAAAAAAAAAAAAAAAAAAAAATGCCTTTACTTTGTCAAAACAAAATGGCGTCCAAAAAAAAAAAAAAAAAAAAACAACTAGCAGGGTTGGTCGCCAAAAAATCGCCAAGTTACCATAATCCGAAGATTAACCAAAACTTCTTTTCTTAAAACTAAATGTCAAACCGTGTTAAAGGTTAGTTAAATATTTATTTGTTTAGAGATGAAATATTCATAAAATAATTAATTGATAATGATTATATTATGAATTATTATGCATTAGTCTTGTTATATATATATAAATTTTCTTTTTCCTTCCTAGCTGATGAGCTGTCCAGAAACGAACGACAGAGTTGTAAATGTTCATCAGCTGTCTATGAAGTTGTGCTCGAAATTGCAGCAGCATGCAATCAGTATCGATGATAATTCAAGTCCTTTGGCAGAAACAGATTCTGGCACTTCACAAACAGATTCTGGCTCTCTAGAACTTGGTTCACACCAGCACTCCATAGAACTAAATAATATCACCGAGACACCAAAAAGATTAAAATGCAACAAAAATTTAACACCAAAATCTTTAAAAATAAGGCAGTTAAGTCATAAGCTGGCATATTTAAAACGAAAACATTCAGCAAAAAGGAAAGCAAACAAAGCTGGAGTCGAAAAGGCACTCCAGCTGATTAGCTCATTAGTTAGTTCTGTAGTTTTCACTTTTATAAAATCACAAATAAAAGCATCAAATGTGTCAAAATACGGACGAAGATGGTCACTGATGGATAAAAATTTGTGCCTTCAGATCTATCTTAGTAGTCCAAAATCATATAATACACTGAAGGCTTTTTTGCATTTGCCCAGCAAGCCTACATTATTGAAAGCTGTATCTGGTATAAAAATGGAACCTGGATTTTCAGTTGCTGTGCTCAATGCCATAAAATTAGTTGCTAGCAAACTGAAAATCCATGACAGGTATTGCATCTTATCCTTCGATGAAATCACTTTAAAGCAAAGCTTATCTTATGATAAGAAAAGTGATTACATTGTTGGATTTGAAAATTATGGTTCCTACACTGAACTAAAAATGTTTCCCGAATATGCAACTCATGGTCTTGTTTTTATGGTCCGTGGGCTGTGTAAAAAGTGGAAAAAGTGGAAACAGGTCATTGGCTATTTTTTTTCTTCTCACACTACTCCAGGTTTTATGTTGTGTACTTTGGTCATGGAAGCCCTATCAAAATTATTTGATTGTGGTTTGATACCTGTGGCTGTTGTTTGTGATGGTGGTGCAAACAATGTAGTTTGTTACAAAAAATTTATGAAAGTCACAGAAGAAAGACCATATATTATATGTCAAGACAAAAAGGTATTCACACTTTTTGATGTGCCTCACCTTTTGAAGTGCTTGCGAAATAATTTTAGAAAGTATGATGTTAAATTTCAGGGTGGCAAAATTGCTAGTTGGAACCACATTGTATCTTTGTGGGAATTTGATCGTAAAATGCCTCACAGATGTGTTCCGAAATTAACAGACCGCCATGTAAATGTGGATTGCCTTAGTGCTATGAGTGTAAAATTAGCAGCTCAGGTCTTCAGTCATTCTGTGGCTTCAGGCCTGTGTTACCTTAGTGCACTAAATGGCTTACCCGCATCGGCTAGTCTTACAGCAGATTTCTGTTCAAACATAAATATTTTATTTGACAGTTTGAACAGTAGAACACTTAAGCACTCTAATCCTTTTCTTGCAGGAGTTACCAAGTCATCGATTCACTTAAAAACCTGGAAGGAAAAGATGGATTTCATCAAAGGCATTGAATTTCAAACAGAAAAAAAAAATATCTTTCCCAAGTATATTTGGCTGGAAATTAACACTATCAGCAGTTCAGCAGTTAATTCCAGTTCTGTTGGAAGATGTACCATTTGTATTAATGTGTCGTTTCACCCAAGATGCCTTGGAAAATTTTTTCTCTGTTGTTAGACGCAGAGGTGGAAATAATGACCATCCAACTGCATATGATTTTCAACAGAGGATGAGAATACTAATGGCACAGAATATCATAAGCACAAGTAAGCTATCAAACTGTGAACCTGATAACGATACAGTTTTGATACCTACAGAGTTGCTGACAGTTATCGATAACACTGAGCCTGGAAATGGCAGTGATGTAAATGATATGGAAATTGACTTTGATGATCCCTTATTGGTAGCAAAAATGAAAATTCTGATACTAGTGCTTGTATTGCAAGTACATCATATGATGTATTTTCACAAAATTCAGCAGCTTATGTTGCTGGATATATTGCTGGAAGGGCATTGAAGCAATTTCCTTGCACTTTATGTAAGAATATTCTTCTTGTTGATAAATCTTTGGGTGAACACACTTACTTTTTGTATTTTAAAGAATTTGATGTAGTGAAAAATGGATTGTGTTACCCCTCACAACAGTTTACATTTACTGTTTGTGAGATGGGTGAAAAATTTGTAACTTTGTTTGATAAAATATGTAGCCAAAAAGATGTGAAATCCAAAATTATATCCCAACTGAAACTAATTGATCATGAATGGCTTACATGCCATTATCATGCAGTAAAAATGTGGGAATATATTGTCAGTTCATATGCTCAGCTTATGATATATTATAAGCTGAAAAGTATAAATAACAGCTTGAAAAACAGACGTAGAGGAAAGAAAAAAATTATTAAATTACACTAAAAAGTCTTATTTGTATATATTATATGTATTATTTGTAAGAAAAATATATTAATGTAAGGAGTATGTGTGAGAAGTTTTTGATTTTGTATTTTTGCTATATTACTATTTGTTGGATTTTAATGTTTTTTTTTGTAATGTAATGTAATTTGTTGAATTTTACAAAAGTTCATGTAATTTAATTCTCTCTCTATCTATGTATATATATGAAATTTGGATTTATGTGTGTATCTTCAAATGTAACTTCAGTATCTAAATTGTCTGTAAGTACAGTGAAACCTCAGTTAACGAATATAGTTTGTTCCTAGAGGTCATCTGAAATCTTTGTAAACCAAACCTAATTCTCCTTTAGGAACTTCTGTAAAATATATTATTGATTCATTCCTTCGCCTCAGATGATTGCAGATTTTAAACTTTTGCATTGGTAACATTTGCACCAGTTTACAATTGAAAAACCAGTGCAAATCATTAAATCTAAACTAGAAAGAAACTAGTTCAGTAGTAGAGAAATATACATGTATTAAAAAGAGTTGGTGATATAATTACAAGATAATGAGAAATGAAAAGGGAAGAAATATTGTTATTAATCTTTAAAATGAAATAGAAATAAATCTTGCTGATAGAAAAAAGGGTTACTTTTCCATTATACTCCCGCAAACTTACAAAATATCCTGAATTAATAGAAAATTACGAATTTAAAAAAAAAAAAATGTATGTAAGAATTGCATTATATATAATTTTTTTTAACATTATTTTACAAGGTAAATCGTCAGAAAAATTAAAAAAATAAACATTTATGTAATTTTTCTGTAGCAGTGAAAATATAAGTACCTACATAATAAGGACGTTTGGCTAAATGAGTAAAAAAACTCAGTAAAATAAGGATTAAAAAAATAATCAGTGTTTTTGTTGTTAAATTTCAAAGAAAAAAAAAATTTGTGACACTGTTCAAAGCATGTTTTGTCTTTTTGGTACATGCATAGACTCACATTCCATGTTTCACACATGTATCTTCTATGAGGTTTCTTCCTTGTGCTACAAAGTATACACTGCCTGGATCTAAATTTCACTGGTATATGTCCAGTGTTATTTAGTTTCTTTTCATCAGATGACGTTTGTGGTTTTTTTATGTTAATGGGGAGGGCTTGGTCTTTTTGGCTTTGGTACGGATCATTCGTTTCCCATTCATACTTATTTTATTCATATTTCATCCCAAATATTCAGAAAATATTTTTAATTTAAATAAAACTTTAAGCGATTTCAATTTTTATTATAGCAAAGTATATTTACATTAAATTTAAACCACAGGAAATAATTTATAAAATCACAATACTAAAATATTTCCTGTGTATTGAATATATTCCCAACCTTTTGTGCTATGCCCCACCCAATCCTCTCTAAAATTTTTAAGCTCCCCCTAGCATATACATAATTTTTAATATTTAAAAATTGAAATGTTCACGAACGAAACTTGAATGATAGCTTTTAGGAAGAAATAACTACGAAATTTTGTGAGCAAACACAGTAAGTGAATTTTAAAAACATGGAGAACTGAAATTCAAGATGTGAAATTTTTTTATTTTAAGTATTGGTAATTTTTATTATTTAAATTTAGCGAGTTCCTTGCACTTGATACTTGCTGCAAAGAAATTTTATTTCAGGTTCCAATTTAGATAACTTGAGTCTCAAGTCTCCCGATTTCAGTAAATCCAACCGATTGTTTTTAGCAGCAAATCATTTATGGCACTAAATCCGCATTCAGCAAAATATGAAGATGGAAACGGTAACAATAGTCCTCTTGCAAATTTGGTTGCATTTGGATATCTGATTCTGGTTTCCTCACAAAGCTATGTCATCGCTCCTTTTATATTAAATAACGTTTTAATTGACTCACCATTTTGCATTTCTGCTAGTTCTTCTTTTTACTGAATATTTGAAATATCAGCCAAATCCACTAGCATTGGCTGCATCATCCAAGTTGGAAAATCAATTTGTTTTAAGTTATAAAATCTTTTAAACCAGGCAATAAAATTTTCAGATGATCGACAATAACAAGTATAGCGATATCAATAACAAGTATAGCTGTAGTGACGTCACATTTTTGGAGCTAATGAGACTTTTCATAATTTTTGTGGTAAATAGTATATGTCTGACATAATTCAACAAAGATAATGAAACCAAATATCTTCCTTTTGCATCATAAGTTTTATTTGCTCCTTCAAATTGTTTGTTTAATATATATATAATTTTTGAAAGATATCGGCTAAATAACTCACAATTACATTGTTATCATCCGTTAGCGGATTTTTCATTTCAGGTTTGTCGCTTAAAAAATAACTAAGAGTATCAAATAGTTCCATAAATCTTTCCAAGCAGTTCCCTTTCGACAGCCTTCTTACTTCAGTGTGAAGTACAAGTCTCATATAGTCTTCATTTTGTTCTTCATAAAATAACTTGAAAAGACGTTCACATTTGGCCCTAGCTTTAATAGCATTGATACACTTTATAACTGAATTTAGTACTTCATTTAGAACAGGCGAATTGTTTTTAACTACCAGGTTTTCTCTGTGAATAACACAATGCACAAGAAGCATTTCTGGATTCTCATCTTTTATCAATTTTAAGCAACGTTTTTACTTATTGCGTGCTTTGTTCTATTTTTCAACTATCGTATTAGAAGCACCATCTGCAGTACAAGATGTATTATATTTTTTATTGGTATATTTTTTATATCTAAGTAATTTTTTAGCTTACTATAAATATATTTGGAGGTAGTGGTGCTTTCTAATGATTTACAGAATATTTCTTCTGCAAAATCCCCTTAATGAATATATCTTACATAACTTACAAGTACGGCTTCACTGTCTCTCACAGTTGGTTCATCCATTTGCACCGAAAAGTTTCTTGTTTTCCGCTTTTCAACAAGTTGTATTTCAATATCCTCACTCATTTAATCTTTCTTCTGCAAATAGTATTGTTATTTAGTGGCATAGCTTTAACGTCCTTGTCATCTTTTTTCTAGAACAGTTTTAAATGCTGATATTGATGGTTTGATTAAATTCTTCCCCATAGTACGGCTTTTCCCAGATTAAGCGATGAGTAATGAAATTTGATAAATAGCCTCAAGAGCACGATTAACAGTTGCATTATGAGCAGTAAATAGACACTTTAATATTAATTTATTTTCAAAAATTTCCCTTAAAGTGCGAAAATAATTCGAATCTGAATTAATATCAGCATTATGTTTCGCCTCCAAATGTGCCTCAAGACGACCTAGTTTCATTGATTTGTTGGTCAGGCATTATTGGCATAAAAGGACAAAAGTTGACCGTTTATGGACCGGGTATCAAACCAAATTTTAACTATGCCTTCAAATACCGACGAACGTTTTTTCTTGCTTGCACCCCTCATTTCACTAAGGGCTGAAAGAAAT